GTCAAATAGAATAGTGATAAGGATGTTATAGAATCTGTACACGTAATAAACATAACCTTCTGGAACACTTCACTAACCTATTCTACTCATTAACCAATAACAGTTTGTTCATGGAACGATGAAGTCATGCTGAGTAATTAGCTTGCACAACTACTGCATATATTTTTATAGGTTATAGAAAACTTTTAATCATTTTTCTGAATTAACTTTCCAAAATACGGTTTTGTGCATTATGCTGAACAGTGGCCTTATGAAGCTGCTGCAATTGCTTTCGAGGCTATACCACGTACTTTGGCACAGAACTGTGGGGTCAATGTCATTAGAACAATGACCGCCTTGCAAGGAAAGGTAAAATTTCCTTTCTTTTGTTTACTTTCAGTTCAATACTAGCTCTGAAGTGTAAAAACTATCATTACCTCTTATAATATAGCATGCAAATGGTGAGAACGTGTGGATTGGCATAGATGGGAATACTGGTGAACTTGCTGATATGAAAGAGCGTAAGGTATGGGTATTTGTTTGTCTTCTTTTCCTCTTTTTTGGTTCACTCTGATCATCTATTTTCGTAATTGTTGGAAGTGTTTTGAGTTATAAATTTTCTCAATTAGTTCATAGTGTTGTATATGTACAACTTCCCATTTATTATCTGATGATCGTATGTGTATTTTTAGATATTGGATTCGTACAGTGTGAAAGCACAGGCATTTAAGACTGCCATAGAAGCGGCCTGTATGCTTTTGAGAATTGATGATATAGTAAGTGGAATCAAGAAGAAGCAGGCACCCGGAGCAAGCCAAGGTCCATCGAAGCCTAAAATCGAGGAAGAAGGTGATGCTGACAACGAGCAGATGATTCCTGAATAACCCATCGGAACTGGAGTTGAACGAACCTTTCTTGTGACTGCCGGACGTACTGGTTTTTTTCAATCAAGTCAATTCTCGACAATTTTGGTGGAACAAGTGTTTTCTGTGTGGGCCGTAAAGCAAGCTTCAGTCTCGTTATGACGGGAGGAATTAGCAGTCGAGCAGTGACATGTTTGACAAGGATGATTAGATAGTATTAAAACTTCGTAATAGTTAAAATTTTATTTATTATACTGTTCAATACTGTGTGAAAAATGCACTTATCCTCTCGATTCGACTCTACTTCAGCCAATGCTTGGGATTCTATCGAACTTCAATATTTTTTGGTTCGCCTCATGAGACATGACTTTGAGTACATTTGAGTTGGAAGGATATTTCAACGATGGGATTGTTATTTTACATCCACTATGAGCATATAATATAAAACTTAAAAATTGACTTTAATGTAATAAAATTTTTTTTTATCTAAAAACTTATTTAGATAACTTGTGCTTTCTACTTTTAAATAAAAAAAATCTACTTATTTTGAAGTTTGAAAGTAGTTCATTTTAGTACTAAAGTTAACTTTTTGTAACAGTTTAATCACTTAGGTGCCGTTCTTTTTGCTATTTTCAACTCATTTTCTATTTTCGATTTTTCAAAACAGTGAAAACGCGTTCTCTTTCATATTTTCGAAAACGTGTTTTTGAAAAAAAAAAAAAAAATGTACACAAAACTCAAAACGACCAAAAGGTCGTTTCCCCTATTTTCCTATGCTAAAACGAGTCTTGCAGCTCCAAAACAACCCTCTAAACTCCGTCCAATCTCCTCCAAACCCACAGGATTTACAACCCATTGTGAAGTCCTCAATCCCCTCTTCAATTACTACACAAACAACAACCCAGATGACACAAATACCATCTATCAATTAGTTTAGCAAAAAAGGGTAAATTTGACTTTGCACCATTTGGTGCAAACTTTGGTGCCACATTGGAGAGCTTTTGCACCAAAATTTGGTGCATTTTGGTGTTTTGGTGCTACCTTTGGAGATGCACTGAGCAGTCGCTTATTATATATTTGCGAAGAGGAAGGTCTTGAACTGAAATAAGAGGTGTGGAGACATCTATATTGCTCGTCCATGAAGACCATGCTTTCTTTTTCTTATTATGCCCGTGTTTGAAGCAAATTTTTGGCTATTTGTAGAAAATTTCAGAACAGTAACCGGTTCACAAAAATTGTGTACTTTTTTTTCAATTCATGGTTACACAATCTCCATTCTACCCCTCATTCAATTTCTACCTGCTCACTTTTCCAATTTTCAAATAAGGCAGACGGGCATTATAGTAATTCAGCATATCATTTCAGGGAGCAGGGAACAAAAGTGCTAGCTTTGGAGCCCACGTGATTTGAAAGGAAAATGCATTATTGGGAGAGAAATGTTCATCAAACATGCCCTATATTACCTCTTCAGTAATAATCCAATGTTTCTCTTTGATTCTAGGCTATTTCAACATTAAGNTTGAACATGATTTGGGATGTTTAGGTGTCGTTCTCTTTTCCATTTTCAACCCATTTTCTATTTTCAATTTTCCAAAACAGTGAAAACGCGTTCTCTTTCCTATTTTCGAAAACGTGTTTTTGAAAAAAATAAAAAAAAATTGTACACAAAACTCAAAACGACCAAAAGGTCGTTTCCCCTACTTTCCTCTGCTAAAACGAGTCTTGCAGCCCCAAAACAACCCTCTAAACTCCGTCCAATCTCCTCCAAAACCACTTGATTTACAATCCATTGTGAAGTCCTCAATCCCCTCTTCAATTACTACACAAAACAACAACCCAGATGACACAAATACCTTCTATCAATTAGTTTGGCAAAAAAGGGTAAATTTGACTTTGCACCATTTGGTGCAAACTTTGGTGCCACATTGGAGAGCTTTTGCACCAAAATTTGGTGCATTTTGGTGTTTTGGTGCTACCTTTGGAAATGCACTGAGCAGTCGCTTATCATATATTTGCGAAGAGGAAGGTCTTGAACTGAAATAAGAGGTGTGGAGACATCTATATTGCTCGTCCATGAAGACCATGCTTTCTTTTTCTTATTATGCCCCTGTTTGATGCAAATTTTTGGCTATTTGTAGAAAATTTCGGAACGTTGCAACAGTAACCGGTTCACAAAAACTGTGTACTTTTTTTTTTTCAATTCATGGTTACACAATCTCCATTCCACCCCTCATTCAATTTCTACCTGCTCACTTTCCCAATTTTCAAATAAGGCAGACGGGCATTATAGCAATTCAGCATATCATTTCAGGAAGCAGGGAACAAAAGTGCTAGCTTTGAAGCCCACGTGATTTGAAAGGAAAATGCATTATTGGGAGAGAAAAATGTTCATCAAACATGCCCTATATTACCTCTTCAGTAATAATCCAATGTCTCTCTTTGATTCTAGGCTATTTCAACATTAAGTTCCATTTCACAAGGTTATGTGCATTGGGCTATCACATACCTACAAGTAAGATTCGTCTTTTTGACACATTTATGGTATATACATCTCTTCTCGAGTTTGAAATGACATTGTAGTTATGTAAATAGGTGCATATTCTGGTTGAATCTCTTCGTGACTCATTAATCATATGACATTTCCTTGTTTGGTAACCATTCTTTCAAAACTCTTTTTTTTTTTCTCACACTCATTTTCAACCACACATTCACGTAAATTCAAAAATTTTCCTACTTTTTAACCACATATTCTCCAAAAATTTTACTATTAAAGACTCTCTTCCAAAGAAAATGGCTGTCAAACAGGTTTTTTGTGTCTTTATACCCATACAAATTTGAAATTCAATTCCTTAGAACTTTGAGTCTTTATTCTTTGCTGTTACGTTTCCTTGCATATATACACAGAGGAGCGGATAATGGTATCCTTGTTGGATTCGGCATCTCGTGTTTCCTTCTTCTTATCTTAGAAGTTTTTCAAATCTTAGATATTCCGATATTAGTCATTCAAGAAAAGACCTTTTCACTTGCACCACTAATAGTTTTGTGCAACTTCTAGCTGCTTTCAAGTAAATTGGACCTTTTATTTTGTTCTTCAGATGTGCATTAACTTCGTGTATTGCTTCAAAGACATGAGGAATTATCTCAATTTTAATCAATATTTTGAAAACCGACCCAATCATTGACTCGAAAAAGTTAAAGGGTCAAAGGACAAATAGTCAAATTGGGGTTGACCCAAAATAAAAATAATAAATTTATATATT